CCCCATTACCCTGCAGCCAGCCCCCCATCCAGGCCCCCAGAGGTTCAGCCCCCCGCCCAGTACCCTCCACCGTCACCATCCCCTCATTATGACCACCAGACTCCACCTGTTGAGCCCCCCTGTCCCACAGAGCCCCCCTACCCTCAGCCGGCCTACCAGGGGGTCACCCAGCCCCAGAGGATGCCTGTACCCTGGCAGCCGATGCCCCCACCCAGAAACCCCAGCTACCCAGTCGGGTACGCCTCACCTCCGCCACCGTTCCCAGGTGCCCCACCCACCTCCTCTCAGGGGTACCACCCTGGACAGGGTCCAGTGCACCCCATGTACCCCTCAGGTGGACCGCAGTACCCCCGGTATCCTCTGGGGTACCAACCTTCATCCACACCTGAGGAGCTGCAGGTGAGCCAGGGGGTGATGGAGCAGCTGCAGCCCACTAACGGTGACTCCATGGTGGGGCACGGCCTGGTCAGGGTCCTGGGTCCGCTGGAGGGTCCGCCTGCTGCTAACGTTGCTAACACTGACAACAACCGAACCATCATAGTTACTTCTAATTATGGTAGGTAAACAGGGGGTTCTGGTAATGACTGTATGTGTCCAGCAGGGGGTGCTCATGTGCAACAGGGGGTTCTGGGTAATGACTGTATGTGTCCAGCAGGGGGTGCTCATGTGCAACAGGGGGTTCTGGGTAATGACTGTATGTGTCCAGCAGGGGGTGCTCATGTGCAACAGGGGGTTCTGGGTAATGACTGTATGTGTCCAGCAGGGGGTGCTCATGTGCAACAGGGGGTTCTGGGTAATGACTGTATGTGTCCAGCAGGGGGCGCTCATGTGCAAATGTTTTAATGCAGGTTTTGATGGAAAGTTTCTCCCTGCAGCGGTGAAGGAGGGCAACAGTTTGACCCGAACCGTGCTGCTGGTGGACCCACCACTCAACAATGAACCCATAGTAGGTACCCCCTACACACACACACACACACACACACACACACACACACTGTACCTAATGTCTAAACTTCCATATCCTCAGAATGAATCAGATAAAACAACATGGATCAAATATTTACACATAAAAAGACAAACATAAATAGTTCAGATGTTCTGACAGCAGCTTTATTACATCTTTGTTGAAAACCCTGAACATCGGGGTTTAAATGATCCCATCGTGGATAAAACAGATTCTGATCCATGTTCTTCCTCCCTCGCAGCTCGCTGTGGTTTCTGACCCGGACATCAAAGAAGCCTCCAAGGCGACCATGAAGCCCGGCAGCATCCCGGGCTCTCCGTCGTCCTACCGGGGCCACCGGAGACCGCACAACCCCGCCAAGACCTACATCCCATCTGGCGTCCCGGATCCCGCCCAGCTGGGCTACCCGCTGGCCATGGGCGAGCCGCTGTCGGTGGCGTGCAGCACAGAGGAGGACTTCGAGGGCGAGGGGTACCCCGTGAACTCATCCGGGCGGAGGAGGGGCTACAGGGGGCGGGGTCGAGAGGGTGGGTACTAGCTGTTTTTGTTTTTCTGCTTCTGAACGCCTCTCTGTGAAAACCAAACACTGTTTCTGTTCTGGTCTTTCCTCGGCGCGTACAATCTGAAGTTTACATTTCTGATCAGCTGAATGTAAAAATAAAAGCTTCAAGTTTCCTTTGAACCTAACGTCGGTGATGGAACTGATGTTTGAACTTGGAGATGAATGAGCTGGGATGTTTTAACACGAACATTTAAACACTGCTGTCTTTTAGCTGAATGAACGGATGAACTCTGACTCCGAGTGGAGCCTCGTCTGTAACGTTTAGAGCTGCAGGGTTTCTGGATGTTGGTTTTTAGATGCTGCTGGTTTCACCTGATCTCTGCCGTGCCTTAAGTTACCTTTGATCCGGTCCGAAACACTGCTGTACAGAACCAAAAACATGTCTGCCTTCAGTTGTTTTCTATGTGTTGAATTAATAAAAATCTGCTTTAAAGCTGTTGTTGGCTTTTATATACAGCCCTGCACCTTCTAATTTACATAAGAGGGTGAGAAGATGATTCTATTGGTTCTCCTGTTTTGATTGACACCTCTTTTGACCAACCGGGTTGCTCTATGGTGATTCTACACAGAAAGGTCCATAAGACCCACCCCCAGACTGCATAGTTTGATTGACGGTAGAATCGACCAATCAGCTCTGAGCTTCATTCTGACAGCACAGCTGTGTAGCCAATCAGCTTAAGTTTCATTTGGTTTATAGTTTTACAGGGTGGGAACCTTGTGTGGAGCAAGAAAAATGAAATGTTATTTATTTCATCCCCCTAGTGGTGAGGCAAACAGACATGGAAAACATGGATTTTAGGGCATTTTGTGGACAGTTAGCTGACTAAACATGGTGTTTCAGTGGAAATATATTTATTATTAAGTGTTCTGAGTGCTTCAAGACAAGGAAGAGTGATTTTTGTGGCCAGGAAAAGTAATAAAATATGGAAAATACCACTTCCTGTCGCCATTTTGAATTTTTTTTTTTTTTTTCAGAAATTGAGGACAAATCCAAGTAAGTAAAAAACATTTATTTATTTATTTATTTATTTATTTATTTATTTATTTATTTATTTATTTTGCTGCTGGTGGTTTTAGAAGCTGTGTGCATTGTGATGCTTTTAAAAAAGAGGTTATATTTGTTTTTGTTGTGTTTTGGCTGTTTGTTAGTGGAGGTTTGATGAATGTTTTTTAGCTGGGATACATATTGATTTTTTTTACTATGTTTTAATCATGTGAGTAAATATGATTGATTGGTTGAATATGATTTTTGGTGTTTTTAGCTTTCATATGAGTCCTCAGTAAAGTTTCTGTGTGGAAACATTTAGAAATCACCGTGTGGAAAATGTGTCCAGTGTATACAGTATGTGGACATGTATGTAATTATGAAATGGGACATGCAGGATTGTATTATGTCTCAAATATTCATTTTTGAAGCTACTATTACAGAATTTCAACTGGTAATAGTTGGGAATCTATATTATAGCCCAATCTTTTTTCCCTCCATACCTCTTTTGTTTTCTGTAATATTTTAAAAATTTAAATGAAAATTTAAGGAGAAAAAGTATCTTGATTTTAGTGTACTTTAACCTAAATATCTAAATACTAGTTACAGTTGCACAAAATATGACCGCAGAAGTTTAAAAATTCAGATTTACAGCTTTTAAAAGAGACCAACCCCGTGAATTTACTCCAAAGGGTTCAAGAGCAGAACTTAATTTAATTTGTTAGTTTTTTTAAGGCGGTTTATGGAAGTGTAGGTCCTGAATGTTGGGGGGTTTAATAGTTGGACCTCTGGTCCTGGTGAGCCCCGCCCTCTGATGGGTGATGTGGGTCAGAAGTCGTGCTCGGTGGTGACGTCGTCGCGCTCCTCGCTGGTGGCCGTGGAGTCGGCGGGTTGTTTTCCTGTGGGCGGAGTCACCAGAGGTCAGGATGATGTGTTGCAGTGATCGGTGCGTGTCTGGTTGTCTACCTGAGGTCCTGCTGCAGCAGATGGACACCAGGACGAAGGTGCAGACGCAGTACGGACAGACGACCAGCAGGTGGCGCAGGAGATGAAAAGCAGTGGGGTGAGGAAGAGGAGGAGGTGATGTGCTCAGAGGATCTGTTCTGTCAGGAGGAGGTGAGGAGGAGGTGGAGGTGTGAGGAGGAGGATCTGCAGGAGAGAAAAGCTGCTTCAGTCACTCTGCAGGATCAAAGCTTTAAACAAGAAGTGATGTCATCGTCTTCACCTCGGACCCTCAGGAAGCTCTGAGGAGACGACCCGGACTTGTCGGTGGAACACCAGTAAAGACCTTCATCGGACCGCTGGACCTCCTGAAGGTTCTGGGACGCGGCTGACCCCCCAACCATGTCCCCGTCCTTAAAGAAATAAGCTGAGTAGGCGGAGCCGTCTCTGTGTCTGCACTGCAGAGTGATGTCACTTCCTGTGAGGACAGGAAGTGCAGGGATCTCCAGGACGAAGGCACTGTCTGAACGTAAACAAACATGTAAACATTTACACAAACGAGACACGGCTGCAGAGCGTCAGCCGGACACGGTACCTTCTGGACGGGTCACGGTGAGGTTGACCTGCTCGCTACTCTGTCCAGAACCGGTCTGGCACCAGTAGAGTCCGGTGTAGGAGGCCAGGAGGTCCAGGACACACGTGGACTCTCTGAACACACAAAAACATGAAGCAGCTGTTCCACACTCCTCCGTCTGCCCTCCTCTGCTCCTCCTTATGGTCCATCCAGACTCCTGTCCAGCTCCTGGACAGCTCAGAGACACAGACTGTCCACTGAAGAACTGCTGCAGGTTTGGACTGATGTTCAGAGACACTGGAGGACAGCACAGTGGACCAGATGGTTTAGTTTGAACACATGCAGAGGCTAGCTAAGAGCAGCAAAAAGTCAGTTTGCAGTTGGCTAAAACAAGGAAAGCTAAAAGTAGCAAAGACAAGCTAATATTTTAAAACAACAAAATTATAAAAAGTTAATAAAATATGAAAAGATTAGCTAAAAGTTAAAGGTAGCAAAAAAAACATCTTAAAATACAAAAGTAACAAAGCGCTGCTATTAGTAGCAAAATGCTAGACAAAAGCTAAAAGCAGCTACAAGTTGAATATAGCAGAACTGTGGCTAAATGCTACAACCAGCTAGCTAAAGGCTAAATAAAGCATAAAAATAAAAAAGCAGAGCAACTAGCTGACGCTGATTATAAAGTATAAAAAATATGAAGGGTTTTCTCTGTTTTAATAGAAAAAATATATGTTAAGACAGAAACATGTGAAGGATTTAATTAAAAAAATTAGGAAGGTAATAATTACGGGATAAATCTTGTGTCAACAGGAACTAAATCTGAATTGCTCAGATTGAATCTGAATGTGCATAATTTAAAATAAAATGCATTGGTTTGAAAATAAATTTCACTAAATTGAAACTGATTTTAATAATTTGAATTTCAATTAATTTTCTTTGAAACTGTATTTTGATTCATTAAAAATTCAGTTTGACTA